TTTAGGATTGGGATGGGGGGATCAGGATCAGGAGTTTAGGATCAGGGATTTAGGATTGGGATGGGGAGTTTGGGATCGGGAGTTTGGGATCAGGGATTTAGGATTGGGATGGGGAGAGTGGGATCGGGGATTTAGGATTGGGATCGGGAGTTTGGGATCAGGGATTTAGAATTGGGATGGGGAGAGTGGGATCAGGAATTTGGGATCCCTGTGAGGAGTTTGGGATTGGGATGAGCAGTTTGGGATCCGTGTGAGGAATTTGGGATTGGGATGAGCAGTTTGGGATCCGTGTGAGGAATTTGGGATTGGGATGAGCAGTTTGGGATCCGTGTGAGGAATTTGGGATTGGGATGAGCAGTTTGGGATCCGTGTGAGGAATTTGGGATTGGGATGAGCAGTTTGGGATCAGTGTGAGGAATTTGGGATCCCTGTGAGGAGTTTGGGATTGGGATGAGCAGTTTGGGATCAGTGTGAGGAATTTGGGATCCCTGTGAGGAGTTTGGGATTGGGATGAGCAGTTTGGGATCAGTGTGAGGAATTTGGGATTGGGATGAGCAGTTTGGGATCAGTGTGAGGAATTTGGGATCCCTGTGAGGAGTTTGGGATTGGGATGAGCAGTTTGGGATCAGTGTGAGGAATTTGGGATCCGTGTGAGGAGTTTGGGATCAGTTTGGAAACCAGGATTTGCCACGGGTGGATTTTTTGGGATAATCTCTCCCTGTTTGTGGCTCTCCTGCTTTTCCCGCCTCCTTTTCCATGGGAAACTGAGCCGGGAAGGATTTTCCAAACCCCGCTCCTGATCCCACGCGGCTCCTTTCGGATCTTCCAGGCCTGGGTGTGCTTGTTCCCAAAAAAAAAAAAAACCTTGGATTGGGATCACAGGAAGAAGGAATTGGGCTGGGGAAATCCTGGATCCATCCCAAACATTCCCAAGGATTTGGATGTGAATGGGAAAGGACAAAGAGCGCAATTCCCTCCCCCCAGAAAACAATTCCCGGCTTTTCCAAAGGATTCATTCCCTACCTGGGGAGGCTTTTCATGGGATAAAAGGGCAGGAAGAAAAAGGGATTTGGGAAGGAAAAGGCCTCTCCTGGGGCACATTCCAGAGGAAAAGTCAATGGAATTCCACCAGCTCGGGGGTTTTCCAGAGGCCTCAAATCCAGCGGGAATTCAGGGCTGGAATTGGGGTTGGATCCATGGCTCTTCCCAGTTTTCCAAGCTGGAAAAAATGTGGGAATAAAACCCCTCCTCATGAAAGGAGATCTTTCCCTAAAAAAAAAAAAACAAACCCCAAATTCCGTGGAGCTTCCAGGCCTGCTGGAATTCCAGAATTCCAGGGGTTAACTGGGAATTGGCCCTGGGATGGGGCTGGATCCCGAGGCTTTCCCAGCAATTCTGGGAATTCAGGGGATGGATCGGCAGCGGGGCTGGGAAGGGAATTTTTGGGGTGGGAATGGGGATTTTTGGGATAAAAGGGGAATTTTTGGGGTGGGAATGGGGATTTTTGGGATAAAAGGGGAATTTTTGGGGTGGGAATGAGGATTTTTGGGATAAAAGGGGAATTTTTGGGGTGGGAATGAGGATTTTTGGGATAAAAGGGGAATTTTTGGGGTGGGAATGGGGATTTTTGGGATAAAAGGGGAATTTTTGGGGTGGGAATGAGGATTTTTGGGATAAAAGGGGAATTTTTGGGGTGGGAATGGGGATTTTTGGGATAAAAGGGGAATATTTGGGGTGGGAATGAGGATTTTTTGGGATAAAAGGGGAATTTTTGGGATTGGAATGGGGATTTTTGGGATAAAAGGGGAATATTTGGGGTGGGAATGGGGATTTTTTGGGATAAAAGGGGAATATTTGGGGTGGGAATGGGGATTTTTGGGATAAAAGGGGAATATTTGGGATTGGAATGGGGATTTTTTGGGATAAAAGGGGAATTTTTGGGGTGGGAATGAGGATTTTTGGGATAAAAGGGGAATATTTGGGATTGGAATGGGGATTTTTGGGATAAAAGGGGAATTTTTGGGATTGGAATGGGGATTTTTTGGGATAAAAGGGGGGGATTTGGGATGGAATGGGAAATGAATGGGATGGAAATGGAACGGGAATAGAAATAAATTGGAATGGGAATGGGAATGGAATAAAAACAGGAACAGAATGGAAGAGAAATAGAAATAAAATGGAGCAGGAAAGGAATGGGAATTAGAATGAAATGGAAAATTAATGGGAATTCTGGGAGATAGATCAGGAGCGGGAAAAGGCTGCGGAACATCGGGATTCCCGGGGTTTCTGGGGATGGAAACCCAGGAATTCCCACTGGGAAAACCCAAATTCCCAACGCCCTCAGCCCCTTTTTCCCCCCCCCTTTTTCCAGCTCATTCCCAGCCATGGGGGACATGAAAACCCCGGATTTCGACGACCTCTTGGCCGCCTTCGACATCCCCGACATCGACGCCAACGAAGCCATCCACTCCCACCACGAGGATCCCGAATCCCACGGCAAACAAATCCCGGGAGATCCGGGAGCCGCCGGCCCTGCGGAGCACGTCCTGCCCCACCCGGACATCTCGGCCGTCAGCGTCATCGTCAAGAACACCGTGTGTCCGGAGCAGCTGGAAAACTTGGATTCCCGAGGGAAGGAGGGGCACGGGATGGCCCCGAGGCTCCTCCAGAACGGATTCGGAGCTTCCGACGTTCCCAGATCGCCGAATTCCCGCTCCGGGGAGGCGCCTTCCAACGGGGAGTGCTGGGGCAAGGAGAAGAGCTCCAAGGCTTTGGATTTGTTCTCGCATTTCAGCCCCGATCCCAACGAGGACGGCGCCAATTTGATCGACAGATCCCGGGAATGCAAAGGCAAGGAGAAATCCCTGGCCGTGCCCTCGCTGGCTCCGTCCCCAACCCCGGCCGTGGATTCCAAGAGATCCCTGGGAGAATCCTCCGAGGGCCTGGATCCGCCTTTCCCGACGCCGTTCCGGGCGGGAGCGGCCGGCGACGGATCCCACCCCGTTCCCCGCATCAAAAAGGAGGAATCGGACTCGGAGGAGGCTCCGGCCAGGAGCTCCAGCCCCAAGGGGTCGGTGTTGGATCACCTGAAATCCGTCAGCGTCCGCTATTCCGCCGCCGAGGACTCTCCCGCCGCGCCGTGGCCGGGATCGGACGCGGCGGCGCCGGACGGCGGCGGCGGCGGCGCGGCCGAGCTCAAACGCTCGCCCGGGAGCCCTCGGGAATCTTTCTCCTCTCCGGGAATTCCCATCCCGCCTTCTCCCAAGCAGCTCTCCCTGAAGTAAGAGCGGGAAATGCTGGAGAAATCCATGGGGAGCCCCGGCAGCGTTTCCAGCGGCGAGGAGGAGGAGGAGGAGGAGGAAGAGGAGGAGGAGGAGGAGGAAGAAAACACCAACTCGCCCTCCTCCAGCTCCTCGCGGCCGCTCAAAGTCCGCATCAAAACCATCAAAACCTCCTGCGGCAGCATCACCAGGACGGTCACCAGGGTCTCCTCCGACTCGGAGCCGCCCTCCGCCGGCGTCCCGGGCCCGCAGAATTCCCAGGAAAGCTCGGAATTCCCGGCGGAGGCGGCGTCCAGGGAAAAGCCGGAGCTGCCCGGCGCTCCGAAGGGCGCGGAAGGGCCCAGGACGGTGAGCGTGCAGCTGGGGAACGGCACCAAGCTGAAGGGCACGGTGCTGCCGGTGGCCACCATCCAGAGCGCCAGCAGCGCCATGCTGATCGCCGCCAGCGTGGCCCAGCAGAAATCCGCCGTGCTCCCGGCAAAGAGCGGCAAATCCGTGGCTAAAAACATCCTCAGCTTGGTGCCGCAACCCCTCCCCAAAGGCAACGGCGCCGCCAAATCCGACGGCGGCGGCGGCGCGGCGGCCAAATCGGCGCCCGGCGTGGCCGGCACCGTCATCTCCCGCAGCCAGTCCAGCCTGGTGGAGGCTTTCAACAAAATCCTCAACGGCAAAAACCCGCTGCCCACCTACCGGCCCAACCTGAGCCCGCCCGCCGAGTCCAGCCTGGCGCTGCCGCCCGCCGGCTACCGCTGCCTGGAGTGCGGCGACGCCTTCGCGCTGGAGCGCAGCCTGGCGCGGCACTACGACCGGCGCAGCATGCGCATCGAGGTCACCTGCAACCACTGCGCCAAGCGCCTGGTGTTCTTCAACAAGTGCAGCCTGCTGCTGCACGCCCGCGAGCACAAGGACAAGGGCTTGGTGATGCAGTGCTCGCACCTGGTGATGCGGCCGGTGGCGCTGGAGCAGATGATCGGGCAGCCCGACGTGACGCCGCTGGCGGCGCTGGCGGTGGCGGCGGCGGCGGCGGAAGGAGGGAGCGCGGCGGCGGCGGCGGCGCAGGAAACGCCGGTGCTGCCGCTGGGGACGGAGCAGAGCAGCTACAGCTGTTTCAGGTGTCTGGAGTGCAAGGAGCAGTGCAAGGACAAGGCCGGGCTGGCGGCGCATTTCCAGCAGGTGACGGCGGGAGGAGGCAGCACGGTGAGAGACGGGAGATGGTGGGGACGTGGGGGGACATGGTGGGAGATGGTGGGACATGGGGGGAGATGGTGGGAGAAGGTGGGAGATGGTGGGAGATGGTGGGAGAAGGTGGGACATGGTGGGAGATGGTGGGGACACGGTGGGAGATGGTGGGACATGGAGGGAGAAGGTGGGAGATGGTGGGAGAAGGTGCGGAGGTGGTGGGAGAAGGTGGGACATGGTGGGAGAAGGTGGGAGATGGTGGGACATGGTGGGAGAAGGTGGGACATGGTGGGAGAAGGTGCGGAGGTGGTGGGACATGGTGGGAGATGGTGGGAGATGGTGGGAGTGTGGTGGGACATCATGAGAAGAAGGTGGGACATGGTGGGACATGGAGGGAGAAGGTGGGAGATGGTGGGACATGGTGGGAGAAGGTGGGAGAAGGTGCGGAGGTGGTGGGAGATGGTGGGAGTGTGGTGGGACATCATGAGAAGAAGGTGGGACATGGTGGGAGATGGTGGGAGTGTGGTGGGACATGATGAGAAGAAGGTGGGACATGGTGGGAGAAGGTGCGGAGGTGGTGGGAGATGGTGGGAGGTGGTGGGACATCATGAGAAGAAGGTGGGACATGGTGGGAGATGGTGGGAGGTGGTGGGACATCATGAGAAGAAAGGAAGAGGGTGGGACACGGTGGGAAGAAGGTGGTGGGACATCATGAGGAGAAGGTGGAACAAGGTGGGGGAGCAGTGGGAAGGTGGTGAGAAAGCGGTGGGACATCGTGAGGAGAAAGGAAGAAGGTGGGACCTGGTGGGAAGTGTGGGACATCATGAGGAGAAGAAGGTGGGACATGGTGGGAGAAGGTGGAAGGTGGCAGGAGATGCTGGGAGATGGTTGAGGAGATGGGAGAAGGTGAGAGGACACTGGGAACATCCATCCGTGGATCCCTTCATCCCATAAATCCCATCCATCCCATAAATCCAATAAATCCCATCCCATCCATCTCATCCATCCCATAAATCCAATAAATCCCATAAATCCCATCCATCCCATCCATCCCATAAATCCCATCTCATCCATCCCATCCATCCCATAAACCCCATAAATCCCATAAATCCCATAAATCCCATCCATCCCATAAATCCCATAAATCCCATAAATCCAATAAATCCCATCCCATCCATCTCATCCATCCCATAAATCCCATAAATCCCATCCATCCCATAAATCCAATAAATCCCATAAATCCCATCCATCCCATAAATCCCATAAATCCCATAAATCCCATCCCAACAGATCCATCCTGATCCATCCCATCCCAGTCCCCACTGGAATCTCCCCAGTCCTGTTTGGATCCTGATCCTGCCGGGAATTCCCCAGAACTTTTTGGGATCCCGATCCCATCAGGAATTCCCCAGAACTTTTTGGGATCCCGATCCCATCAGGAATTCCCCAGAACTTTTTGGGATCCCGATCCCGTTGGGAATTCCCCAGAATTTTTTGGGATCCCGATCCCATCGGGAATTCCCCAGAACTTTTTGGGATCCCGATCCCGTTGGGAATTCCCCAGAACTTTTTGGGATCCTGATCCTGCCGGGAATTCCCCAGAACTTTTTGGGATCCCGATCCCGTTGGGAATTCCCCAGAACTTTTTGGGATCCCGATCCCGTTGGGAATTCCCCAGAACTTTTTGGATCCCGATCCCATCAGGAATTCCCCAGAACTTTTTGGGATCCCGATCCCGTCGGGAATTCCCCATCTCCCATCACCATTTTTAACCCCATCCTTGCCAAACCCTCCCATAACTCCCCCACCCTTTGATTCCCACCCAAACCTCCCTGGAGTTTTTCACCGTCCCAGACCCCGGAATTCCCAGAATTCCCAGAATTCCCGTTTTTTCCCCCCTCCCGCTCAGGTGTGCTCGGCGTGTCCCATGATCCTGGCCAACCGCTGCAGCTTCAGCGCGCACCAGCGCATGCACCGCAGCCGCCCGCCCCACGTGTGCCCCGAGTGCGGCGGCAACTTCCTGCTGGCCAACTTCCAGAGCCACCTGCGGGAATGCTGCCTGCACTTCTCCCGCAGGGTGGGCTACAGGTAATCCCGGGAATGCCGGGAATTCTGGGAATAACCGGGAATTCTGGGAATAATGGGGAATTCGGGGAGTTCTGGGGTGGGAATTTCCTGCTGGCCAACTTCCAGAGCCACCTGCGGGAATCCTGCCTGCACTTCTCCCGCAGGGTGGGCTACAGGTAATCCCGGGAATGCCGGGAATCCCGGGAATTCTGGGAATAACCGGGAATTCTGGGAATAACCGGGAATTCTGGGAATAATGGGGAATTCGGGGAGTTCTGGGGTGGGAATTTCCTGCTGGCCAACTTCCAGAGCCACCTGCGGGAATCCTGCCTGCACTTCTCCCGCAGGGTGGGCGACAGGTAATCCCGGGAATGCCGGGAATGCCGGGAATTCTGGGAATAATGGGGAATTCGGGGAGTTCTGGGGTGGGAAGTTCCTGCTGGCCAACTTCCAGAGCCACCTGCGGGAATCCTGCCTGCACTTCTCCCGCAGGGTGGGCGACAGGTAATCCCGGGAATGCCGGGAATGCCGGGAATTCCGGGAATTCTGGGAATTCTGGGATTAACTGGGGTGGGATCGGGGAAAGGTCCAGAAGTGGGGTTTGCTCATGGAATGTAGTGGGAATTTCCTGCTGGCCAACTGCGTCTCCCTTTGGAACCCCCGATCCTACTGGGAATTTCCCGATCCCTTTGGAACCCCCTGATCCCATCGGGAATTCCCCGATGCCGCTGGGGATTTCCTGATCCTGTTGGGAATTCCCGGATCCCTTTGGAACCCCCAATCCCACTGGGAATTTCCCGATCCCATTGGAATCCCTGATCCCTTCGGAACCCCCAATCCCATTGGGAATTCCCCGATCCTGCTGAGATTTTCCGATCCCGCTGGGAATTCCTGGATCCCGCTGGGAATTCCCCAATCCCATTGGGAATTTCCCGGATCCCTCTGGGAATTCCTGGATCCCTTTGGAACCCCCAATCCCATTGGAAATTCCCCGATCCTACTGGGAATTCCTGGATCCCGCTGGGAATTCCCCAATCCCATTGGGAATTTCCCGGATCCCTCTGGGAATTCCTGGATCCCTTTGGAACCCCCAATCCCATTGGAAATTCCCCGATCCTACTGGGAATTCCTGGATCCCGCTGGGAATTCCCCAATCCCATTGGGAATTTCCCGGATCCCTCTGGGAATTCCTGGATCCCTTTGGAACCCCCAATCCCATTGGAAATTCCCCGATCCTACTGGGAATTCCTGGATCCCGCTGGGAATTCCCGGATCCCTTTGGAACCCCCGATCCCGCTGGGAATTTCCTGATCCTACTGAGATTTTCCGATCCCTTTGGGAATTTCCTGGATCCCTTTGGGAATTTCCCGGATCCCTTTGGGAATTCCCGGATCCCTTTGGGACCCCTGATCCCGCTGGGAATTCCCGGATCCCTTTGGAACCCCTGATCCCTCTGGGAATTCCCGGATCCCTTTGGAACCCCCGATCCCACTGGGAATTCCCGGATCCCTTTGGGACCCCCGATCCCGCTGGGAATTTCCCGGATCCCTTTGGAACCCCCGATCCCACTGGGAATTCCCGGATCCCTTTGGAACCCCCGATCCCTCTGGGAATTCCCGGATCCCTTTGGAACCCCGTTTCCCTCTGGATCCCCACAGGTGTCCCAGCTGCTCCGTGGTGTTCGGCGGCGTCAATTCCATCAAATCCCACATCCAGAGCTGCCACTGCGAGGTTTTCCACAAGTGCCCCGTGTGTCCCATGGCCTTCAAATCCTCCCCCAGCGCCCAGGGCCACCTGTGCGCGCAACACCCGGCCTGCGGCGCACAGCCCGCCAAGTCAGTGCTCCGGGAGAAACACCGGGAGAAACAACGGGAGAAACGGGCGGGAATAGCACGGGGGAACGGCGGGAATAACGGCGGGAACAACAACGGGGAAAACAGCGGGAAAAACAGTGGGAAACGGGAATAACAACGGGAATAACACGGGGAAAACAGCGGGAATAACAGCGGGAAACGGGAATAACAACGGGAATAACGGGGGAACGGCGGGAATAACGGGGAATAACAATGGGAATAACAACGGGAACAACAACGGGAACAACAACGGGAATAACGGGAACAACAACGGGAATAACAACGGGAACAACAACGGGAACAACAACGGGAACAACAACGGGAATAACGGGAATAACAACAGGAATAACAACGGGAATAACAACGGGAATAACAACAGGAATAACAAGGGGAATAACGGGGAAACGGCGGGGATAGCACGGGGGAACGGCAGGGATAACGGGGAATAACAACGGGAATAACAACAGGAATAACAAAGGGAATAACAACGGGAATAACAGGAATAACAACGGGAATAACAGGAATAACAACGGGAACAACAACGGGAATAACAACGGGAATAACAGGGGGAAACGGCGGGGATAACGGGGAATAACGGCAGGAATAACAACGGGAATAACAGGAATAACAACAGGAACAACGACGGGAATAACAACAGGAACAACAACGGGAATAACAACGGGAATAACAACAGGAATAACGGGGAAACGGCGGGAATAACAAGGGGAATAACACAGGGAATAACAACAGGAATAACAGGGAATAACACTGGGAATAACAACGGGAATAACAGGAATAACACCGGGAATAACACCGGGAATAACACCGGGAAACAGCAGGAAACAGTGGGGAAACTGTGGGGAAACAGCGGGAATAACACTGGGAATAACATGGGGAAACAGCGGGAAAAACAGTGGGAATAACAGCGGGAGTAACAGCAGGAAAAGCACGGGGAAACACCGGGAACACAGCGGGAAAAACAACGGGAAAACACCGGGAACACAGCGGGAAAAACAACGGGAAAACACCGGGAACACAGCGGGAAAAACAGTGGGAAAACACCGGGAACACAGCGGGGAAGAGGGAGGGAAAGGGACAGGGGGTGGGAAATTTGGGAATGAGGTTGGGAAATTCGGGAATGAGAAATTGGGATGATTTTTCCGACTGTGCCGTGTGTGACGCGGTGTTCACGCACAGCTTCCCATCGATATTCCCGTGGAATTTTCTTGGGATTTCCATGGATTTTTTACCGGGATTTTTCCTGGGACGATCCCCACGGGTTTTCCATGGATTCCCATGGATTTCCACGGATTTCCCACGGGTTTTCCATGGATTTTTCCAGGCTGATCTACAAGCGTACCGTGTGTGACACGGTGTTCACGCACCGCTCCCATCGATATTCCCATGGGATTTCCATGGATTTTTCCCGGGATTTTTCCCAGGACGATTCCTGTGGATTTCCCATGATTCCCACGGGTTTCCCACGGGTTTTCCATGGATTTTTCCAGGCTGATCTACAAGTGTGCCATGTGTGACACGGTGTTCACGCACAAGCCGCTGCTCTCGTCGCACTTTGACCAGCACCTGCTCCCGCAGCGCGTCAGCGTCTTCCGCTGCCCCCACTGCCCGCTGCTCTTCGCCCAGAAACGAACCATGCTCGAGCACCTCAAGGTCAGACACCATTCCCGCCGGGAATGCCGGAATTCCGGCCAAAAACGGTGAAATTCCGGCCAAAAACGGTGAAATTCTGGGCAAAAACGGTGAAATTCCGGCCAAAAAGGGTGAAATTCCGGCCAAAAAGGGTGAAATTCTGGCCAAAAATGGTGAAATTCTGGGCAAAAAGGGCGAAATTCCGGCCAAAAACGGTGAAATTCCGGCCAAAAACGGTGAAATTCTGGGCAAAAACGGTGAAATTCCGGCCAAAAAGGGTGAAATTCCGGCCAAAAAGGGTGAAATTCTGGCCAAAAATGGTGAAATTCTGGGCAAAAAGGGCGAAATTCTGGCCAAAAATGGTGAAATTCTGGGCAAAAAGGGTGAAATTCCGGCCAAAAACGGTGAAATTCTGGGCAAAAACAGTGGAATTCCAGCCAAAAACGGTGAAATTCTGGCCAAAAATGGTGAAATTCTGGGCAAAAAGGGCGAAATTCCGGCCAAAAACGGTGAAATTCTGGCCAAAAACGGTGAAATTCTGGGCAAAAAGGGCGAAATTCCGGGCAAAAACGGTGAAATTCTGGGCAAAAACGGTGAAATTCTGGGCAAAAACGGTGAAATTCTGGGCAAAAACGGTGAAATTCTGGGCAAAAACGGTGAAATTCTGGGCAAAAACGGTGAAATTCTGGGCAAAAACGGTGAAATTCTGGGCAAAAACGGTGAAATTCTGGGCAAAAACGGTGAAATTCTGGGCAAAAACGGTGAAATTCTGGGCAAAAACGGTGAAATTCCGGCCAAAAACGGTGAAATTCTGGGCAAAACCGATGGAATTCTGGGCAAAAACCGGGAGAAATGAGGGTGGGGAGAGCTCCTTCAAACACCCCCTGCTCGAGGAGCTCGGAATTCCAGCCGGGAATGCCGGAATTCCGGCCGGGAATGATGGAATTCCGGGCAAAAATGATGGAATTCCAGGCAAAACTGGGAAATGGGGTGGGGAGTGAAGGGAAGCGGGAGCCGGGATCTGGGCGGGGTTTTTCCCAAAGGATCTTTTCCATCCCAAAGCGTTCCAGGATTCCCTGGGCTGCTTTCTTTGGGATTTCAGGGATAAATCCTGGATCCCAGCCCAGATTTTTCCATGGATTCCCCACCCCCGGATCCACCTGGAACTCCGGGAATGCCTGTGGGATTGGGGTGGGATTGGATGGGATTTAAGGATCTTTTCCATCCCAAACCATTCCAGGATTCCCTGGGCTGCTTTCTTTGGGATTTCAGGGATAAATCCTGGATCCCAGCCCAGATTTTTCCATGGATTCCCCACCCCCGGATCCACCTGGAACTCCGGGAATGCCTGTGGGATTGGGGTGGGATTGGATGGGATTTAAGGATCTTTTCCATCCCAAACCATTCCAGGATTCCCTGGGCTGCTTTCTTTGGGATTTCAGGGATAAATCCTGGATCCCAGCCCAGATTTTTCCATGGATTCCCCACCCCCGGATCCACCTGGAACTCCGGGAATGCCTGTGGGATTGGGGTGGGATTGGATGGGATTTAAGGATCTTTTCCATCCCAAACCATTCCAGGATTCCCTGGGCTGCTTTCTTTGGGATTTTTGGGATAAATCCCAGATCCCAGCCCCGATTTTTCCACGGATTCTCCCCGACATTCCCGATTCCCCCTTCCCAGAACTCCCACCAAGCCCAGAAATCCAAGGACGACTCTTCCAAGAAATCCCCGGCTCTGCTGACGCCCAAACCGGAGCCTCTGGAAGCTCCGGTGGCCAAGAATTCCGAGGAATCCTCGAGCTCCACGGAGGAGGAGGAGCCCCCGAGCTCCCCGGAGCTGCGGAAGAGCAAACGGAGCCGATTCCAGCGGAAATCCGGGAATAAATCCAAGGGCAGCGGCTGGACCTGCGGCGTTTGCCACTCGTGGTTCCCCGAGCGCGACGAGTACGTGGCGCACATGAAGAGGGAGCACGGAAAGGTGGGAAACGCGGGAATTCCCGGGAATTCCGGCCGGGAAATCCCTCGGGGATGGGGCTTGGCGGGGGGAGATTTGAGTTCCTGCCTCTGGCTGGAGTGGGAATCTCGGCTCCTGGATCCTCCGGGATTTTTCCAGGATCTCTCCTGGATTTTTCTGGGATTTTCCTGGGGTTTTTCTGGAGTTTTCTCAGGGATTTTTCCCTGAATTTTCTGGGATTTTCCCGGGATTTTCCTGGGATTTATCTGGGGTTTTCCCGGGGTGTTTTCTGGCGTTTTCCTGCGGATTTGTCTGGGATGTTTCTGGGGTTTTCCCAGGATTTCCTGGGATTTTCCAGGGTTTTCCTGGGATGCTTGTGGGATTTTCCTGGGATTTTGTTTGGGATATTCCTGGGGATTTGTCTGGGATTTTCCTGGGAATTTGTTCGGGATATTCCTGGGGATTTTCCTGGGAATTTGTTCGGGATATTCCTGGGATTTTCCTGGGAATTTGTCTGGGATTTCCTGGGATTTTCCTGGGGGATTTTCCGGGATATTCCTGGGATGTTTCTGGGATTTTCCTGGGATTTTGTTTGGGATATTCCTGGGATGTTTCTGGGATTTTCCTGGGGATTTGTTTGAGATGTTCCTGGGATTTTCCTGGGGATTTGTCTGGGATATTCCTGGGGATTTTCCGGGATATTCCTGGGATGTTTCTGGGATTTTCCTGGGGATTTGTCTGGGATATTCCTGGGGATTTTCCGGGACATTCCTGGGATGTTTCCGGGGATGTTCCCGGGGATTTTCCCGGGGGATTTCCCGGGATTTCCGCTGGGTGTTCCCGCAGTCGGTGAAGAAGTTCCCGTGCCACCTGTGCGAGCGCTCCTTCTGCTCCGCGCCCAGCCTGCGCCGCCACGTCCGCGTCAACCACGAGGGCATCAAACGCGTCTACCCCTGCCGGTATTCCCGGGATTCCTGGGATTCCCCCGTTCCCGGGAACCCCACGATCCCCGGGATCCCACAATTCCCGGGATTCCCCCCATTCCTGGGATCCCTGGGATCCCCACAATTCCCGGGATTCCCCCCATTCCCGGGAACCCCACGATCCCCAGGATCCCACAATTCCCAGGATTCCCCCCATTCCTGGGATCCCTGCGATTCCTGGGATCCCACAATTCCCGGGATTCCCCCGTTCCCGGGAACCCCATGATCCCCGGGATCCCACAATTCCCGGGATTCCCCCCATTCCTGGGATCCCTGCAATTCCTGGGATCCCACAATTCCCAGGATTCCCCCCATTCCTGGGATCCCTGCGATCCCCGGGATCCCCACAATTCCCGGGATCTCCAATTCCCAGGATCCCTGATTCCCGGGATCCCCCAATTCCTGGGATTCCCCCAATCCCCAGGATCCCAGGATTCCCCCCCATTCCCGGGATTCCCAATTCCCGGGATCCCCACAATTCCCAGTTTAATTCCCAAAGAATCGGGGTTTAATTCCCAAGGGATCGGGGTTTGATTCCCAAGGAATTGGGGTTTAATTCCCAAAGAATTGGGGTTTAATTCCCAAAGAATCAGGGTTTAATTCCCAAGGAAATCAGGGTTTGATTCCCAAAGAATCAGGGTTTAATTCCCAAAGAATCGGGGTTTAATTCCCAAGGGATCAGGGTTTGATTCCCAAGGGATGAGGGTTTAATTCCCAAAGAATTGAGGTTTAATTCCCAAAGAATTGGGGTTTAATTCCCAAGGAAATCAGGGTTTAATTCCCAAAGAATCAGGGTTTAATTCCCAAGGAAATCAGGGTTTAATTCCCAAAGAATTGGGGTTTAATTCCCAAGGGATCAGGGTTTAATTCCCAAGGGATCAGGGTTTAATTCCCAAGGGATCAGGGTTTAATTCCCAAGGGATCAGGGTTTAATTCCCAAGGGATCAGGGTTTAATTCCCAAGGGATCAGGGTTTAATTCCCAAGGGATCAGGGTTTAATTCCCAAGGGATCAGGGTTTAATTCCCAAGGGATCAGGGTTTAATTCCCAAGGGATCAGGGTTTAATTCCCAAGGGATCAGGGTTTAATTCCCAAGGGATCAGGGTTTAATTCCCAAGGGATCAGGGTTTAATTCCCAAGGGATCAGGGTTTAATTCCCAAGGGATCAGGGTTTAATTCCCAAGGGATCAGGGTTTAATTCCCAAGGGATCAGGGTTTAATTCCCAAAGAATCAGGGTTTAATTCCCAAAGAATCAGGGTTTAATTCCCAAGGAAATCAGGGCTCCGTTCCCACCCGTCCCGCCCAAGTTGGCAATCGGAATTCCGGGAAGGAGAGGGGTTTGGGAAGGGACTGCGGGGCTGGGAGGGGCTGGAATTCGGGAATTCCGGCGGCAGCATTCCCGTTTTTCCGCGGCAGGTACTGCACGGAGGGGAAGCGAACGTTCAGCAGCCGCCTGATCCTGGAGAAGCACATCCAGGTGCGCCACGGCCTCTCCGGAGCCGACGGCCGCGGCCTCGAGCTGCCCGCGGCCCGCGGAGCCGCCGGCGCCCAGGTACCGGCACTGCCCCGGGAATTCCGGCACTTCCCGGGGATTTCAGCACTTCCCGGGAATTCCGGGGGGTTCCCGGGGCATTTCCTGGGGGTTTCTGGGGGTTTTGTGGGGGATTCTGGGAATTCCGGGGGTTTCCCGGGGATTTCTGGGGGTTTCCTGGGAATTCTGGGGGGGTTCCTGGGAATTTCCTGGGAATTCCAGGGGGTTCCTGGGAATTGTGGGGATTTCTGGGGATTTGGAGGGTTTTCTGGGAATTTCCTGGGAATTCCAGGGCTTTCCTGGGGGTTTCTTGGGATTCTGGGGGGTTCTTGGGGGTTTCCTGGGATTTTTGGGAATTCTGGGGGGTTCCTGGGGTTTCCTGGGAATTCTGAGGGGTTCTGGGTGTTCCCTGGGTGTTTCCCATGTTTTCCTGTGAATTCCTGGTGTTTCCTGGGATTTCCTTTG